GTATTAGGTTTTCTATATTGTAGAAGCGTTTAATACTTCATCAGTGACACATGAGTTGCAACAGGTGTTCAAAACTTGGCAGGTATTGAGCTTCAGTTCTTGCTGAATGAAATTGCTTATAGTCCTTAAAAGTAATAGTTATTCACTGAGTCTGGAGATAAAACAAAAATGATAATAAAAATAATGATATGGTAAATGCAGCACGAGTTCCTGAGCTCTTGCTCATATTTTAGTATTTTACAAAGCACTTATCATAGTTCCTATGTTCTTATTCTCAGCACGGGACTTATTAGTGGCTAATTATCAGGCCATCATGGTTCATTATGAATCTTTTATTATGGTATAATCTCTTCTCCACAGTTAATTGTGTTCTTGGGAGCAAAAGGTCAACCTTTTTTGCCTACTAGAAAAAGGGAGGTCAAGATGAGAGAATAACACATGCCCTAAAAGCTTAAGATTCTTCGAATGAAGTCGCTTGACCTTGCAGAGTCACTTATAGTTAAGGATGACATGATTACTTCCAGAACTTCTCCTGAAGTTCCTTGGTTTATTCTTTAGGTACTCTCTTCATAATCCTGATTAACAGCTTGGGTGGATATGATTTTAAAATATGGGCGTTATTTTATGGAGCTTTGAAAGGAATGTAAACTGTATAATTACAGCACTTTTCATCTCATTTAATATTTTCAAGAGTCTTGCTTGTCTGTGTGTTTGAACACTGCTTTCAGAGGTGTTACAATTTTTCAGAGTTCGCTGCCCGCCCATCCCTGCAGCTGTCCTTCATCTTTACAATTTTTTATGATGCAAATATAATGAAGAATTTGCAAACTCTTTTCTGATTTCTGAGTTCTGTATTATCAACTGGAGATTTTCTGCCTTCTAAGGGAATCAGCAAGCTATACCTTTCTCCAGGGTATGGTAATTTCTAAAGGTTCAAACAAGCCAATTTACTTCCCCCTCCCTCTCCTTTTTGGTGTGGGGGATGAGGGTTTTTTTAAAACTAAGCAGGCCTAATCCTTGTTAAAGTGTGTTTTGGTTTCTTCCCCTTAAAAAAAAAATGTAGCACATCTTTGGTCTAGGTTCATCTGAGGCTATTTCTGTCTCTTTTCCTATTTGTAATGATCCCATTTTTCCTCAATTATATTAGGACTCAACCACCTGAGTTTCCTATTATAGGGGAATAAAATACCCAGGAGTACTTTAGATTATGTAAATATGTGTGGAAATATTTTTGGGTGGAGCTAATCTTATAAATATAGTAATCCCAGACTTCTGAAATCTATAAAGGAGATTGAGCTGTACTCTGAGCGGGACTGAAAGATAATCAGAATTGGACTGAAAGTTTAGTGCAATTGGAAGTACTCTTGATTTCCTTCTCAGTAGAGAAGCCTGTCTTGTCAACACAGGTATGCCAGGCACAGGTTGGGAAATCATACTTAACTAGCAGATGTTGATCACACACTTGCTGAAACAAGATTCCTCATCCAGTGTTCATCTTGTAGAATGGATTAAATTAGTTATTTCTGCTTTCTTGTTTGTGGTGCAACGTACAAGATTGATTTATTTACTTTTATCCTGCTGCACTCCACAGAGACACACACTCTCTCTATATAGAAGTCCTTCTGGAGTGTAGCAATGTATATTGGTATATGTATATATTTCAGCATAGCAATATAACATCAAAACATCATCAAACAAATACAACTATAGTAAAATCAGTAAAGCTATTAAATCGCCCCAGTTGTTGATTCTCAGCTGTTAAGATGTTAGGCATCCTTAATGGCCAGATCTTAACTAAGGGCCCTTCTGAATAACTTTGTTCTTATTGCTTTCTTAGAAGTGAGCAATGATGATGCCATCCAGATTTCTGGTAGAAGGCTGTTCCATAGAATAGATGCTACCAGAAAAACATAATCATCATCTAGCTGCCCTTCTCCATTCTGCTGGTTGCTGCTTCACTTGGGACTGTTGCTCAGGGCTGAGCTCTTTCCAACACTATATATCTGTTGAGGTGGCGAGGTAAAAATATTTTCAACTTGAGCTTCACTCTGGGTGATTTCATGGTCACAACTCTGCTATTTAATTGGCAACAGCACAATGCAGTGTGCATTTGTTTTGTTTTGTTTTGTTTTGTTTTGCTTCCCTGTATAGCCTACAGCCAGTGGTATCTGCCATGAATTAGAATGACATCATCATGCAAGTGACATTACATACATGTGCCCTGAAGTCATAGAATTTGTCTGATACTATTGTCACATGTTGTTCCCCCTTCCCCAAAGCTCCTTCCTATAGACCTGTTATTCTGTTTTGATCTCCCATCCACATACTAACCAGATTCAATCCTACTTAGTTTCCCAAGTCATACAAGGTTGGTTAGGTGCTTCCACCTGTTGAGACAGGTGCAGCAAACACAGGCAAACTTAGCAATCAAAAATGTAGCTAGCTGGATGAGATTTCAAGCTGCCACTTTATCTAGTGAAATATGGAAAGAGTTGTTTATGTGTAAAGGAACACATAAGAACGTCCCTGCAATTATGAGGGTTGAATGAAAAATAATGTTTCCAATGTTATAAGTCATCAATAGATGGGACTCCTGATGCTGTAGGGGCTCTGACATGTTATTTAGTATATGTTCTTTCACTTCAGTTAGTGGGAAGTTGCTGTGAGAAAAGGTTATGCTACAGTTGTTTGTGAAATGGAATCCTGCAGTGAGTACTCATCATTGTGCTTTAAGCAACATACTGTGATGGAATTTTTGACTGCCAAATGTAGGTTGTTTATGGTGGTGACTGTGTTGATTTGAGTCCAGATGCAAAGATGTGAACTGGGAAGAGCTGATTTGCGTGATCAAGAACAAAGTGGATTACTTGTGACAGCAACCAATGAGTTTCACATGAGAAAGATTGATGAACAGGTTAAGTACAATTCAGCAAAGGGACATTGCTGTCAGGTTTGGCATATCACAGCAATGTGCGGGTAACATTATTGATGTTCTTCAGTATTGAAAGGTTTGGGCAAGATGGGCTCCTCACACACTGACAGCAGAAATGAAACCTTCAAGAGCTGAAATTTGCCAGCAATTGTTGTCACACTATGAGAATGAAGATGGGAAATCCCTTCATAGCATCATGACAACTGATGACAAAGCGTCAGTCCATGGGTTATCATCACAAAGCTTCACCTGTAGAAAAAAATTCAAAACCTGGATTTTCTTGAACCTGGCACATTGTCAGCTCAGAGAACTACATTGCAACACTCAAAACATTGAAACAATGACTAAGCAGAATTCAGAAGCAACAAGAAGGAAATTTTGCTGCAACATGATAATACTAGGCCTCACACCTCATGAGCCAGGTTGGATCTCATCATCTTACCACAGCATCTATACTTAGCAACATGTAACTTCTACCTTTTTCCAGAACTGAAAGAATATCTTCATGGGCATCTGTTTGACTGAAATGAAGAGATGGAAAGAACTGTCAGGACCTGGTTGAAGAGACAAAGTATGGAGTTCTTTCATGATGCCTCTAAGAAACCTGTCCATCATTGGCAGAATTGTGTAGTGAATGGTGGTGATTATGGATAGAAGTAAATACAGGTAACATAAGATCTCATTTCAAAATATTGAAATATCCTGATTTAAACTAAAGTTATGGAGATGGAAGCATTACTTTTCATTCGATATCTCTCCGTATGTATGTATGTATGTATGTATGTATGTTGCTGCCTATATTGCTATAAAAACAAGGAAAACTCTGAAGCCTAATGGTCTGCAATTAAAATAAACAGAAGCAATTGGTTGTTTAAGGAGAATTCTTCAGCAGTTGATAGGACCCAACATAAAATTAAGCTGGTCTAATCTACCGGAGTAGCTCTCAGATGCTGCCACCATCTCTGCAAAAATAACATTGCATGCCAGAGAAATCCACTCACTGATCTT